CTGCTTCTGTCAGCACATCTTTTTCTCTCTTCTTCTGACCCTCCTCATCTATTTTTAAGGACCCTTATCACTACATTGGACCCACCAGCATAATTCACAGTCCCACAAAAAATTTTAAAAATAAATAAACAAGGTTACCTAATTAGCAATAAATTCCATCTGCAAGCTAAAATCCCACGTTCCAGAATTACCATGTGGGTGTTTTTTTTTTTTTTTTTTTCCTGACCGGTAAGGGGATTGCAACCCTCAGCATGGTATGGTCCACACCAGGCTCAACTGTGAGCACACCGGCCATCCCTACATAGGATCCGAACCTGCGCGCTCCCAGCGCCATACTCTCCCGAGTTAGCCATGGGACCGGCCCCCATGTGGGTATCTTTAAGAGACAGTTATTCTGCCCAGCAGGCCTTTGCATTCAAACTTTCCTTAATGACTAGAATGTACCTGCACCCCATAGTTCTGGTTCTTTTTGTTAATTTTTTTTTCTAATTTGGGACTCCCTTAAATTTTATATAATGGGAAAAAACGCATACCTGCTGCACAAAAATTGAGTTCTCTAAGATTCTTCCATATAAAATCTTAAAATTACCCATAATTGTACCATCCAGAAATAATTATTGTTAATATATATATGTATATATGTTTCTAGTCCTACACTTCCCCTCTAGGCATAAGAGTGTTTTTCTGAAGCATTAAATCTTACTAATTAATCATGCAAATGAGTCAAGGACTGTCCAAATTGTAGTTTTTGAAAGGAATCTAATCCAGCCATGGATCACATTAGACCTGTGTGCATGTAGGAAGAGATGGGGCATGCCACTGATCATTCTCTTACTTTGAGACACCTATCACATATTTAAACTTTATGGATTATATATGTATCATCTGATACTAATTCCATGGCAACAAACTGTCAAAAATTACGGCCCTTCAGACTTAGTTTTTCTACCATTTTAATGTTTCTTTCACAGAACATGACAATAATAACTGATGCCTGGTGCCCTACGTGTATGCATTTTAGAAGTAGTATTTCCATTACTATTTGAACAAATAACAAATCCAAGATATATGAAAAATAAGTAAGATATTAGTAACTGAATATATTCACAAATATCTCCCATATCACATAGAATACACAATACAGCCTCTTGCTGATGTTCTCAAATTGGCATCTTCTCAGATTAGATTGTTTACACGAGATTTTTTAGGCAGAATCATGTCTGTTCTATGAGTTGGTTGAAAGTACATTCCTTCCTTATGTGTCTTAGAATCTTATTTGCTAATAAAAAGAATTTTCATTCTTAACATCAGGCTCTGAAAGTTGTTTTAGTTAGCATTCATTTTACTGAAAGCTCATTTGACTTGAGTTTCTTTTATTTTAATTTTAATTTTTTTTATTTTTTTTTTGTCAGGCAGCAGATTTTCACTTTTTATTTTTATTTTATTTATTGGATATAAATATTATTTTAATTTTTTTATTTTTATTTTTTGTCAGGCAGCAGATTTTCACTTTTTATTTTTATTTTTTGTCAGGCAGCAGATTTTCACTTTTTATTTTTATTTTATTTATTGGATATAAATATTCATGGATGAGTCTCTTATTAAAAGTGGATTGAGAGATGTGTAATGTTACTGATCTTCAATAATAACAGCAAACTTCTATTAAATGATCACTACATATCACTGCATGTTTTTTTAATTGTTTTGATGAATATATGATGATACATTTTCACAAAATTTACATAGCTTATGTCATACTATAACAAACTGGCATATTATCACTGTGTGTTTTAGACAGATTATCTTACTTAATAATAGTTGAGACAGTCATGCCTTGTAGGATTTTATTCTAATTTTACCAGTGAGGAAACAGACACTGTGAGGTTAATAACTGTCAGAGCTCAGATTCACATCCTGAAAGTCAGATCACAGAGACTGTATTCTTAATTTCACCAAAATATCACTGCCCAAATTATATGTACCCTTTAAACCTACCTTCTTTATTTGGTAATTCATCATAAATTCTTCCTCGATTAATGTGAATGTCATTATTATTATATGCCATTATATAGCAGGCCATAATTTATTTAATCTGCTCTCTGAAATATTTCAATTCTTATATTTTTCATTTTTAAAAATTATTCTCTGGAGCTGGCTGGTTAGCTCAGAATGTGGTGTTGATAACACTGAGGTCAAAGGTTTGGATTTCCTGTACCAGCCAGCCATCAAAAAAAAAAAAATTCTCTGGAAATTCGATATAACGTGGATAGATTATATCAATATTGATGTCCTGGTTGTAGATATTATACTGTAGTACAATCACCAGTTGGCATAACCCAGGAAAGGTACAGAGGATCTCTGGGTATTATTACTTATAACTACATGTAAATCTACAATTCTCTCAATTAAAAAAAAAAAAAATCCCAGAAAGAAACTATTCTCTGAGCATACTTGGGCGTACATTTGTG